GACAATGAAGATGTTGGGAAACCTGTTTCAGAATATTTTGGTATCAGTGGAACTGCCCCCAAAGTAATTTTTCTTCTCAGTACGAATTTATGATACTGATTGTTGCTGATTTCATATGTTTGGTGCAATTGAAGCTTTTGTTGTATCAATTTCTGTCTAGGTTCTTGCATACACAGGAAATGATGATGCTAAAAAATTTGTACTTGATGGGGATGTTACCTTGGACAACATTAAGGTGGGAACTTTCTCCTTATGGTCTCCAATTTATATTCAGCTTTAACTGTGGTTAGGTAATGGTTCTTCTTCTTCTACATGCATCCATTTGTTCGTTCACAGGTTGCTTTTCCTGCTATTTTGATGAGTTCAATGAACAGGTATTGCCAATGCCAAAATCTGTAACATTTTGATCTTTTTGTCTTCTCTCAGGCTTTTGGAGAGGATTTCATTGAAGACAAGCTCAAGCCTTTCTTCAAGTCAGATCCAGTTCCTGAATCAGTGAGTTGCTAAGTTTTGTTTTCTCAGCTAGTTTATTTATTTAATCATTCTTTTATTTGAGAAGAACTAATTGATTTATTTTATTTTGTCTTATTATCTGACATTTTTTATGGTGTTTGATTGTTACAGAATGATGGGGATGTAAAGATAGTTGTTGGGAATAACTTCGATGAAATTGTTTTGGATGAGTCAAAGGATGTTCTTCTTGAGGTATTGTTGCAACTGATAAATGCATGAATATGCCCATTCTCTTTTGGGTTCTTTTTACTTGTGCGCTTTCTAAATTTTTATTTGGTTTACTAGATCTATGCACCATGGTGTGGGCATTGCCAATCTTTGGAGCCAACATACAACAAACTTGCCGCACATTTGAGGGGCATTGAGTCTATTGTTATAGCCAAGATGGATGGAACAACAAATGAGCATCCCAGGGCAAAGGTACTTGTATTTCAATTTGATCTATGGCATAGGATTTGAAAATGCCAAGAACTTGTTTTGCTGTTGTTTTTTTTTTTAATATAGCAGTTTGTCGTTTTTAGAACTTGGATTTATAATAGATTAGTGTCCTTTGTGAGTAAAATAATGTGGGGATAAACTTCTATGGAGGATTAAATTCAGACGGATACCCATGGTTTCCTACTTATAATTGCCCAATGCCTAGCTATGTACCTTGAATGCCACTTGCAACCCCTAGTTTTTACCTGGAGAAGTCAAACTCAGTTGAAGACAGGTGAATGAAGTTGTTTGACCAGAAACTAGAAAACGTGGTTGGTTGGGTTTGCTTTACAGACCGGCTTTTACAGGAGAGAGGCTTGAACTAAGACCTCTACTGTTCCAAAGCTGTTTGTGGTGGAGCATGTTTAAATTTCATATATTTTAAATATAATCAATTTACTTAATTTGTTTTTTCCTGGTTCAATCTCTGAATCTTTGATCATCTCCATTTTCCAAATCAATGACTTGGCAATTCTGAAAACATTGACTTCTATATAGAGTGGAAGGTGGACTGTTCAGTACTTTTCCTTTCCAATTCAATGCACAATAAAAAAAAAATTAATGGTGTTGGAGTGCAAAATCTCAAAGCGAAAAGTAAGAGGAAGTTTGTAGTGAAATTCTACTAACTTATTTTTTCTTCATGCAGTCTGATGGGTTTCCCACGCTCCTCTTCTTTCCTGCTGGAAACAAGAGCTTTGATCCAGTAAGTTGCTGTTACAAATTTGACATTGTGTTTTCAATATTGCTTCTGCCCATTATAGCATTTAAATTTGGAGTATGTTTTTGTGATATGTTTTGGATGATTGGTGTTGGGCAGATCACTGTGGACACTGATCGGACCGTGGTTGCATTTTATAAGTTCATAAAAAAACACGCATCGATTCCATTCAAGCTCCAAAAGCCAGCTTCAACATCAAAAGCAGAAAGTTCAGATGCCAAAGATGGCATTGAGAGCAGCACGAGAGAAGTGAAGGATGAATTGTGAGGATCTTATGTGCTTTGCTAATTTATGTATCTTGTAAGGTCAAGGCAATAGCTTCAGCAGAAAATAGAGCGAGTAGTGTAAGAAATATCCAAAGGAGAAAATCTATTGCGACCAACAACCTACGACACCCCATCCTCAGTGAAACTGACTGGGAAAAAATTGAATTATGTATTATCGTTCTGAATTTTGCCTCGTTTTCTGAAGGTTTTCTGGAAGAGTTTAATAAATCTGGGCGTCTCTTCCCTGGTTCCTGTTATGTGAACTTGCTGAGGAAATGAATTTCCCAGATCTGTCAGGGTTCCTCTTCTTCTAGTCATCCCACGCGCATTGGTTTTGGCGGTGGGCTCCACACGAGTGGAAATTGTATTTCGAAGTTTTTAATTCTTAGGCAAGCAAAGCTAATAAATAATACGTGGCCGAGTTTCCTGGAGGGTCGGAAACAATGACGTCCCTCCTGATCGGTAAACCGCACAAGTCCCCATCGCAAGAATGGCAATGAATACGACCATTTTGCTCTACCTCCCCCTGATTTGAAATGTTTGAATCCATCACCCTGCACCTTTTTTCTATGGTTACCAGACTCCGCCTGATGGTTTGGTCTGGGTCATGAGAGGGTTTAAGGTAGGTAAAAGTTAGGCTTACAATTGGCTGGTGAATTTTGCCTAAATTTAGGTCTTGGCAAGGTGCAAGGCAGGTAAAAGCTAGGCTTGCAGTTGACCTGCTGAATTTTGCCTAACTTGCCGGGTCAACGTGTGACCTGATGAAACTTGGAACAGATGAATATCAATATATATATATATATACTATACTTATAAAAAAAGTTGTATTTTTTTAATATGAGATAACAATATTTTTAATTTAAATACTTTAACTTGAAAAAGATAATATTTTTATGGTGTGAAATTAAAAAACCTTTTAAAATAATTATTTAAACTTTATTATTTACAACATGTATAATCTATATCTATATGTATTGTTTTTTAACTTTTTTATATGAAATATTAAAATTTTAAACACTTTGTGAACCAGAACTAGTTTTTTAGTTAGGTCAACCCTGTTTGAGAGTTATGCTTTTTTCAGCCTCCAACCTCAGGTGAATGATTTTCTTCACTTGATGTTTGTCCACTGTATACCTAATTTAAATTTAATTAGATAGGTGGCTTGCACTTATCACATGTTGATCTAGTTTTTTTTAATAAAAAAAATATCAAGGTGATGTAAACAATTTTTTGAAAAAAAAAATGATTCTAGTCATTAACTCAAATGAGTTTAATAAGCTTGACTAATTAAATAATATGATTAGTAAATAAGATATTGACAACAAATAAAGTGAGAAGAAAAATCAACAATGATTCAATGCAAAACATGAATGTTTGTTAATATTATGAAAATATATCCTTACAATATTCCTAAAACATCTAAATAATATTTTTTATTAACAAAGTAAAAATTAAATGAGATTAGGATAATTGCATAGAAAAATAATTGAATCTCAATTCCCAACAAATAAAATTATAAATAACTAAATTGAAAAGTGAATAATTTTAAAAAATAAAGAAGAAATTAACTTGAGTATACTCAAGCCAACAAAAAAGATGAATTCTTAGGAAAAAAAACATACTTTTAAAGGAAGTAGAGATAAACTATTTTTATCATCCAACATGAGTGAGAATCAAACAAAATCTATAATCTAGTCATGGAACTAGGATAACCCATAAAAAACAAACTGAATAAACTCATGGAGCTCAATTCCAAAACCAAAATAATATTGAGGGGCAGAATTGAAAATAAAATAAAAATCAATGAAAAAAAAGGTTTGGGACAACCTTAGTGAATCTATTGAATTTATGATCTAAGACATGATACCAAGATAAATTTATAAAAAGAAGAGTTAAAAAATAACGAATATCAATTTTCAACGAACCTAATAATGATGGATAAAATTATTTTGAAAAAATTATTTTTTATAAAGCACTTAAAAACGACTAAAGCCAACCTGGTCTGATCTTCAAGACTTATGACATAGATCATAAGACCGGATATTACAACATAAAAAGTAAACCAAAACAAAATATCAAATTCTCAACTAACCAAAATAGTTAGTGACAAAATTGAAAAAAAGAATTCAACAAAAAAAAAGAAGTAGATTTAGAAAGAATGAGAATTAAATTTGAAACAAAAATAAAATAAAATAACTCATAAGGGATGGAATAGAGAAATAATTTCAATTAAGAAAGGATAAGAAAAAATAAAAATAATAATTAAAAGAATAAAAACCAAATTTAATATAAAAATCAAATGTCATGTGATGAAATTGAAAACAAAAACTAATTCAACAAAAGATTCAAAACTAAATACATTACAACAAAAAAAAATAAAGACTTAATTTGATTCAACAAACAAATAACTAGGTTTCTTTGTTTTTTTACAATGACTATCATGTTTTTCTAGGAAGGGAGAAAGGAAAGAGAGAGAGAAAAGAAAAGGCATAACCAGAGCTCAATCTTTTATCTTTTGGTGGCACGCGCCTCATCACCATAATAAGAGCGATGATGTGCTTTGAACACTGCTGTGAAGGGTGACGTTCAAAGTTCTTATGGTGGAGCCAACCAATTTTTTATTTAAATTATATTTTATATATATTAAAAGACTTAATTACCTCTAACCCCATATAAGATTAATAAGAAAAACCAAGAGAAAATGATAAAGGCATCTTCACATCCAAAGCCATAAAAGTTTAATTCCAAGGGGTATGTAAGTCATTACAATATACAAAAAACTAAAAATATCTCTTGATTAAAGCAATTTTTTTTTCTTTTAAAGGTGATTTAGTAATAACACTGTATAACAAAAATGTAAAAACATTGATTAACCCCATTCATTCTTATAATAACTAAAAAGTCAAGCTAAATGATTTTGTCCTCGAAGGGAAGATAATTTCATTATATGAATTCACAATGAGATGTGAATGTGTACATGGTAAAAGAATTATTAGGTTTTTTTTTAAAAAAAAAAAAATTAGGTTATCGGCTCATACTACATTACATTATGATTTATATTATATTTTTTAAAAATATAAAAAGAAAAAATCTAGGCATTATTAGTGTTTTTCCTAGTAGAAAAAACTTTCTAACCATGTTAGCATTGACTTGATATAACTTAGTTGTCTTCATTAATCCAAAGGTAAAGTATTTGCTTGTATTTAGGCCAAGTTATATGTGGGCTTAAAGATTCTGGAATCAAACATCTTCTTTGTGTTTTTAATCTCTACCTCCAACCCTTTCAAAAAGATGACTAAGACTTGTTTTTCATTAATCTCAGTCTTATTCCACTACACATAAAAATTCTAGATATACATTTCCAGCTCTCCAATGTGCTTCAAACCCATCAACTCTTATAAATGATTCTTCTATCCCTTGTACCTATAAACATATAGCTTCTACATACTCTTTCCAACTTATTTTTTGATCCCTTAAACTTATTATAATGTTTTTATACTAGTAAAGAGCAATACCATCGAGATAATAGGATGTTATTTTAAGCTCTTCAATATATTAAGTATATTTATGCAGCTATTTGTACAGCTATTCATGCACATCTTCACCCCAAAATACTGCAAAGAAGTTTTTGGGTTTATGTACCTTAAAGCAAGGATTCTTTCTTCATTCATAAGACGAGCTCTAGAATGCGATCCCTCCTAGATGCAAGTTTGTTTGTCTTTGCCTTGGCTGGAGCTACCTTAAACTGGAAAAAACTTTTGTAAAGTAAACTTTATCTGTTGTGCCATAGTACTTACCATGTTCCTCTGTCTTTAATATGAGCTTCTTGACTTTCAATGGTATGATCCAACATATGACTTTATACTTTTAGTAGGTCCATCAATTGCTCATACTTTTGACCAGTCATACTTCTTAATTACTTCAATGAAATCCTCTAGTCATTTAAAATCAATTGCACAAATATCATGTGTCATGTTTAAGGTAAGTGTAAGGTCTCTTCTGATACCACTTCTTACAAGAGGTTACAAGTTCAGTAATGTAGAAGAATGGAGGAGACAAAGATGAAGAACACAAAGGGATTTGCCCGAATCCAGTTTCCTTTAATTTCTCATTAGTGTTTTTCCAAGAGTAATTAACTTTGTCTTTTATTTTCCTTCTAGAACATGCTAAATGATGCGTAGCACGAGTGCTGGAAGACGTGTGTTGCATTGAGTGCTTAGCAAAACGATGAGCATCAATCTTAATGAAACGGTGCGTTGAAACTTT